ATAAGTACATCAGCCCACTCCGACCCCCCACTTGCTACATTCTCTCCCAACGCACCCCCAGATAGTCTCTTTTCCGGGATGTTCAGGGATCTCAATTTTCTTGTTGCTGAGCATGACCAGTCTCGCTCGAAATACAACCCTACGCCAAATGAAAGTAACACCCTAAGTCAAGGCCTTATTGAGGATGCAATGGATCGACTTCTTCCTTCGCTTCGTATTAGAGCCCTCATCTCTCTCCTTGATCTTGAAGCATTTGTAGCCGAGGATGAAGAGCCTAATCTGGACTTCAAGGTTGTTGTGGACTTCTCAGATCCCGATGTTAGTGCGCAGGTGGCAAAATTACAGTCATTATACGCGTCTAAACGGGCAAGACGCGCGAATCTGGTGGGAGGGAGTTGCGACGAGATATGTTCTCACCGAAATGAGATATCTGTAAGCGCATTAGTCTTCAAACACCCTGCTCATGCACTAACGCATGACTATTGACAGCGCTGCACAACTTCACATTGCCTGTGTGACGAAGAGCTCGTGAAAGAACTTGGGAAGTGCGCGTATTGTGTGACAGAGCGTATCAAGTCGGAGCGATTCACGGCTGAAGCTGAGGGCATGTTTGCTGGTGAGGTCTATTTTGAACTGGTGCCACCGCAAATCCAGTTGCTCATTCCGTTAACAGACATCCTAACTCTGTGTCAGGACTATAGAAAGAAAGAGTAGGCTATTGTAGACCAAGGGAATCGACTTCCTCAAAAATATCCTTCACGCGAGAATGTGGATATTTTATTATCATTTCTCTCTCACTATGCCAACGTAGATCAACAATGTGGTGTGCTCCATCTGTGACTTCGCAGCTTTTGTGACTGCTAAACGTTTCGAGCCGACTATGCACCGCAGGGGGTGTATGTCGCAAGCGCTAAGCTGAGGACCGTGAGTCCACGCGAGTTCAACCTGGGACCCTCAGGCTGCTTGTGGGAGCGCGTGGTAGAGGAATTTCCAGCGTCAGTGCGGAGCACAGAGTCAGAAATGGTCTGAACTTATTCGCACTCGTTCAAGTGAGTCTCAAATCATCCTCCACTGGCGACAGTGTTGACGCTTCCGCCACTCAATGCGGATGTTGTCTCAACACGCTCCGCCTGATACCAAGAATTCTGCCCCCGTGGTACAAGTAGGTCAGCCTAAGTACCAGTCCAGATTCGGGGACACAAGAAAGTCTCCCCCCCCTGACCGTCATTCTGGCTGGAGCCCTGCCCGAAGCATGCCCTGCAATGTAGAAAACGTTACATTCAACTGGATGATAAGCTCTGGCCGTCGGCTTCTTGCATCCTGTTGCAGATTGCAAACCGTGGGCGGGTGTTTGTTGATGATTACTGAGGCTAAACAGTTCAAATCTGATATGGCCCCCAGTTGGCACTCGCTGCCATGGCGGAAAAGCCGGCGATAGGTCTACGATTGGGCCTAGTCGCTAAGGTACATACTTGTAGCGCTTCGCTCTGTAGGAGAGCTCAAACCGAATAATTGATTTCCCATGGTGCACTGGAAACGTGCAAGACCTTGGGCTTTGTCCTCTGCAGAAAGCAAGGAGGGGAATAGATAGGATCATTATCATGAAACGATGGCCAACTTCACCCTTATTCTTCAATGCTGGCCGGAGTTACGCCAGACGCTCATTAATTACCCCTCCTGCTCGCATGCTCATTGGCTGGGAAATGCTCTTTTCCCACGGCTTCTTGGTACACTTCTCTGATGTCTGGGATGCTGCACGAGTACTGCGGGATCCGGGAGCAATTACATGGCGAATGTGTCTTGAGGACTTTGTTTTACAACGCCACATCAAATCATGCTGAGAGTCTGATTCTGAAACTAACACAGAAACATAATCGTGTTGCAAACAAGTACAGCCGGTTGTTCAGACGACTCTGTACTCGGATTTAATTTCACAACCCATACCCACCCGCACAGGCGATGAAGTGCTTCTGGAGGTCCTTGCAAGCCTCTATTGCTGTGTTTGGATTGTGCTTTATAAAGTATTTGTTTCCCACAGCCTTGGTGTTTGGGAGGGGACAGCATCTTGAAGCATTATCGATATCCTGGCATCAAACAACAAGACAGAAATACTCACGGCTTAATCTCCTCAGGATTAAGACGATTGGGGGGCTGGTTTCTGTGGTGTAGGCGCCACTTCCCTGGTGCTTTTGAACTGCGCTGACATGACTTGGGGGACCTCGAGGTCTTGGTTGGGAAATTTCACACATGTAGTGGGGATGTAAATGCAGCAGCCTGTAAGCTTTGTAGGTTTAGTCTGGGCCTAAGGGCTTACGCGGGAAATGCTAGCCAAATAACTCGATTCGAGGCAGTTACAAGAAAGCTACGGTGAGGCCAGGTCTATATACACACGGGAAATCAGTATGATAGATCACCAGCCGCTGCAAAATTCTTCATCCTACCTCACGTACTAAATACATCGCGGAGTCAGGGCTGATCCTCATCTTTCAGCCATGTTTGGTAGATAGGCAGAGGTGCTGGAAAGCCCAAATGCGTTTCTTACTATTAACCAGTCGACGCGCCTTCGGAGGTGGAAAGCGTAGTCCGCATAGTTGCTCAAAAATGACACTACTAAAGCAACAAAATTCAAAATCGTTGACCCAGAATTAATTAACAGAAGCGGAAGGCATAGTATGGGAGTTTTTAAAAAGTACTGTGCCAATGTCGGATGCTCCTATATGACATGGTAGCATCCAACGCAGATCGGGCGTGTCCAAAGTTCGAGTAGGGGCCGGGGCAGAACTGTAGGCAGGTCACCAGCCTCTATTAGAAGCAGAACTGGAATGCGGGGAAGTTTGATTCGATCATCTAATTCTTGTGAACTTCCACGCCACCAAGCGCTATCCCCAGGTGTCAGAATATCCGGCTCAATCTCCCTCGACAACGCCTTACACGATCAATCCCGGGGATCATTCCCGTTGTTAGCTAGGCGCTGGGCTCATTTCTATCACTATCAACGTTGCCCCCTGCTCATCCTGTGTACTATTTCTCGACGGGGTTTGTTCGTTTTTAAGAGAACGTACCACCAACTGGGTAGTTGTCATGTGTGACGAGGGATATGTTGACAGGATGCAAGTCTCTGAATTTGGTATCTGCTCTGTATGGTAGGACTTCTTGCTTTCAGGCGTGGTAGCCTACAAGAAAATCTGCTTTATGTTCAACGGATACCTGGGACTCATTCGGCATTTGACTTTCCCGAGCGGCGTCCCCCTCCAAGTACGGAACAAACGAAGTATTTTCGGCCATTCAGATCAACCCCAATGCACAATCTTCGCTAGTTCCTTAGGAGTGCAGACCCTCGCTGTGCTGCTGAAGCATTGTGCTTCGTCGGATCAATATAGCCCATTGGGATCTTTCCTAGCTGTCTAATCCCTCTAGCGTTATTATACGCGAGGAACGCGCCTAATCGGAGTAGCGGCAACTTCGCGCGGTTGCCACCATCAACTGCAATATTTTACCGCAACTCCCTCAATCGCATCCGGCCCGTTCCCCACAACGAATTCTTTCCGTTGTTTTCGCATTTGGATTCTCTTCACTTAGTTCGGTGGCGGCTGGCGCGGGTGATTGGTGACTGCAAAGCAGAATGAAATTCTGGCTAATCAACATTCCCGGAGGATCTTGTTTCTCGATGCGTTCTTCCAGAGCCTCAGCGCCTCTTCGTTATATGCCGCGCTGCGGCACATGGAAAGAATATTGCCACGACCCTGTACGATGTACTAATTATTTAAGCCACCGACTCGCCTTGCCACTCCTCGTGAGCAACATCAGCTGTGTGTTCCGATCACATTCGGACCCGCGCTGTTGAGCCTCCTTGTTGCGATGAGGCTGGAACCGGCTCAGGCGCCATGATTTTATGGGCATTCATGGGGTGTTACTCAATGGTACAAGTGTCCAACAGAGAATGATTTTCCTTATCGGAGGCGGGTTGATTTTTTACCCAGCGGTCGAGGTCATTTGCAATTCAGAACTAAAGACCAGCACTTCGATTGAAACCATTTGTTGGTGTAAATTCAGATGGGAAAACACAGTACTAGAAGCTTGCGGGGGCAGGACGTATGCTATGATCGATATCCATGTTGCCCAGCGTATCCTCGACCCTACAATCGATGGGGCCATATGTTGTAGTCCGCCGAGCCCGGAGTCGCGCATTGGTCACAAAAAAACGTGTGAAGTGGTGTCTAGATTGGGTCATCCTCATGACGACCTCGGGTAAAACGAGGTACATGGCATCCAACACCATGTGCATCCTCAGATTGCGATGCTAGGTGTTGCGCCATCGAAGTGAAGTCGGACAACACATCATTACTCAAGCTCTCGTCCAGTCTCTGGAGTTAATTACCGATCGTGCGCTAGATGTGTTTCGCTTTCTCGTTCCTAGCGAATGTCACCGAGAGAGTGATAATGGACGGGTGGACAGATGTTATACGTTTTCTGTTAGAATATCGACGACTACCGAATGGCTACGGAATATGATGGACGGTTGGGGAGTTGGGGAGTTGTGATTATTTGATCTTCACATCATTGTGGCTAACGACGCTTATACCCAATTGGTTCCAGAGACGCGTGCTTTCACCGACACCACGCGATCTCGATAATTTTTGTCTTGATTCTTTTTCATCGTCGGCTATCACAGACCATCGCCATAAGCGATATTGGTGCCACTCGTATAAGATACGCTGTTGCGCCGTAATTTTTCCCCTCCCTCGGTTCTCCACATCGAGACTGAGGTGATGCCATTCTCTTTTTACCACGTCCGCGTGTATTTTCATGTTATAGTCTAGGCGTCTAGTCTAATTGTTTTACTTTCCTGCACAGAGACCTTCCGGGATAATGGTGAGATTGGCTAGAGTCCAGATGGGCGCAGAAAGCGTGTGAACGTGTCGCAAATCAATTACATACCGAATCAAGCGCCTGTTTCCTACCTCTGCCAAAAACCTGAAGCACGTACAGCTTTGTTCAGAATGCCACTGGTTGACGTCCTAGTTCTCTCCTCGGTTCTATGGGCTGCCTCTTTCTTTGTTGGCCTTCTCCCACTTATATTCTCACCCCCACGTTAGCCATTTTCCTCGAAACCGAAGCGCCCGCGCTTAACCTTTGCTCGCTGTCTATATTACTAGGACACGTCATCGCGCTCCTTTCAGTGCTGGGGATGGGGATACTACTTGGAACATCTATGGGCGTTATTATTCCTGAGTGAGCAACCCGGCATTGACCATCTCCATACAAAAGTAATGCCACTAAGTTTTCGCGCGCTAGAGGGATAGAGACAATATATGACGAGTACTTCGCTAAAATTAGAGGAGCGGGCTCCGACTACGTTATTACTAAACCCCCGGTGCTGACGATTGCGTTGTCGCTGCTCTCTGGCTTCACAGCGATGCTGGTCATTGAGCAGGCGTCCTCCCACTACATTGACCGTGCTGAAGAATACATCCCGCTGACGACGAAGTCTCAAGACGGCAGCGACGAGTCGCAAATAGCAATCCCTATTTCTGGTGATGCTTTGGAAGATGATCTGGATGCAGAGATTGCATTGCTTGAAGGAACGCGAGGGCCTTACGAAAGCAATGCATCTGCACCTCTGGACGTTTCACCCATGGCCTCTCGCCCCGATCCGAGATTGATGACCCTTGGTCTCATTGTCCACTCTGTGTCGGATGGGCTTGCATTTGGTTCGGCTTGTGTTTCAAGGAATGCGAGTATCACCAGCCAAACGTCGTCCCGTCAAACTTCGATTTCTCTGGTAGTGTTTGCTGGAATCATCATTCACAAAGGTACGCGTGTCTTCGTTCTATATATTGATTTGATCCAATGCTTATATCTGGATTGTCCACTCACGGCATCATTATTAACACTGAACGCCATCTCGGCCACGGCTTTAGCTCCCGCTTCTCTGGCATTGAGTACAACACTCTCGTCGTATGCGTTGTCCGCTCGAGCAATCCGCAGTCATATACTGGCATTCTCCGCAGCCGCTCCAGCTGGTGCTATTGTCAGTTATCTGGTACTGAATGCTTTGCGTGACAAGAACTCAACAGTCGCCAGTGGGTCCTGGATCGGCCCAGCTCTGCTGTTTTCGGTGATTGGCCGCTCCGCTTCTTCCCCTATTCATCCATACCTAACGGATCTAATTTTGGTTGCTGCAGGGCGGGAGTTTCCTCTACGTCGCAACTCTTCTTACACCACTCTCCACTCGTTCATTTCCAAAGTCCCACAATCATGAACTATCGGATATAGATATAAAACCCACCACTCGTCTGTTGATTATCATCATCGGTATGTTTGCACCCGCCTTACTTGGAGGCATACTTGGACACGGTCACTACGCGGAAAATTAGTTGGTAATGTCAAATCGTCCATAATGTCGCCCCGGCTGTTAATTTTTTTTGCACTTCTAATCTGCGGGCTAGATGGGGAAATTTTGACCAGATGGGCTGGGTTGGGGATTTGGATTGGTAGAGATGATCATCGAGGCGGCTGCGGTGCAACGGAATGGACTCGGACAAAGTGCCTGGTTTGAGTTGCCAGTCATTGTACATAGCCACAGTCATCACCACAGCGATACACTTTGCTCTCGGGGATGTCAGGATTGATTTGATAGGGTGTGGCTTTCCCCCGGTGTGACTCGTTGCACAGGTTGTGGGCGAATGGTGACTTGTGACAGGCATCGCTACCATTCAATCGTGACATCCATCGCCCTTCCCATCAGCAGGCGTCTGCACATCAGGTCCATTCAGTGCTAACTGTTTCATCACGGTTCGAATGCGATTTCGCATCAGAATGGGGGATAGACGCCCATCATTTCACACAAAATCCATTATAAGTGGCCGAAAGCCACCCACGCAGCCGGCAATTGATTGCGAATGCCCCTCGTTTTATCGTCGTCTGCCTTGAGTCCTTCACCCCTCGTGCTCAAGTAGTTCGACAGAGAACCCGCTATAATGAGCAAGCTGGTGATGGATGCTGCAGAATTGGAGAACTGGTCAGCTTCACAACACGTAACCGTGGCCACTTTCTGTCTGCTCATTTACGATCATGGTTCGTCCTCAAAGCGTTGGAACTTAAAGCGCAGCTGTTGACGAGTACGCATTCCTCCGTTCTCTAGTTCTCACCTTTTCCGATGAAGTGAACCTTGTATGGCAAACAAGAAGTGTCAACTTGGTGAAATTGTTGTTCATTTTTAACCGCTACGCCGTCCCGGCTGTCATCGCGGTCGATACTGCACGTAAGTTCGTTTATTGAATTTTGAATATTTCTCGACCTGACTTTTTTGGGCCACGCGGACCCTGTAGTTGTCACTAGGATTGTATCTATCGGCCCGTGGTGGTGGATTTTTGAGATCTTAATGGAAACGCTATCGTTGTGGTCTACAACCCGTGCGTGATCTCTCTAATACAACTTCCGTATGCCTAACTTGGCCCTTTGACGACAGTCATAATAGCATTACGTGTTCGTGCGCTCTGGGTCGACCGAAAAGACATTAGGCGCATTCTGATTTGGTCGTGGTCTGTTCACGTTGTCACGTCCTTTGCTTTGACAATAAATGTACTCGCCCACTGTAAGTCTCTCACTTTTGCTCACGCGATGATGAAACTGAGATTGTGCGTGGCGTTCGTGGCGTATAGCTTCATTCGAGTCAGATTATTTCAATGTCTGCATGGGGTCCATAGAGTACTGGTGGACTCTGTGGGTGCCCGGGATGTTATTCCATCTTGTGATTTTTGGGTTGATGGGAGCAAAGGCTTGGTTCACCCCAAGGTAATTAGTATGCACTAGAATCACGGGCCTTCGTGACGCTGACAACACTCTGGGTTATTCAAGGGATGAAAAAAGCCCGCTTCTGATCATTCTATTGATCGATGGATTTATATTTTTCTTTTTTGTATTTTCTTTGATGCTCATCAACACGGTGATATGGGCTCTGGAAGTGGTACGTACATAAGTCATCAGGCCGCGAGACGTCACCTCACCGATCTGTTCGACTTTAGCCCTCTCTTGTTCAACTACCCCACGAGTGCGTAGACATACTACTCTCCAATACAAAGCTTCCCGTGAACTAACCTCCCAATCGTAGTTCCGTTTGGGCACTCTGCACGATTGCCATTACTCGTCTGCTCCTCTCGCTCCAGAAGCGCTATCACGCGCACCATGTCTCACTGTCTAACGATGATGATGACGAGGTCGACATCGAGATCAGGGACGGTCTGCCCGCACCACTCTCTCCCATTTTCTGGCTACGCACGCCATCGCGTGTGGATCCGCCATTAGACGACCCGTTCTATGCGTATTACGCTGCTCCATTCCCCGTCACACCAACAAGTGGTTTGGGGAGAACACCTACTATCCAGCAGAATTCAAACAAATCAACAAATAGAACAACTGCCACTAGTTCTAGAACTTCCAAGAGTGCCAAGAGCCTCCCTCCTGGAGATGGGGACTCTGAGAGAGATGTGAATCACCACGCTATGTTAGATTTTTGGAGGTCTTCACCTTTGCCGGGGTGGATACCACCTGTACCACCCATTCCCGCACTGACTCCTTTTTCAAATGTATAACATCCTGGACAATTATTCGAGTATGCCGGCCGATAGCTCGGACATTCAAACCCAGTACTTTATCAATTAATATGATTTGTTCACCTGTATCCCCAGCCGTATAGGGCCCACATCGGCCAACGTAATGCACACCATACTCCAATAATTAATATCATGCGTAGTCGTTCCAGTTTCGTCCAAGGTCGAAGCGGGTGATCCCAGCATCTGTAGCGGCCCATAACTTGGGCTCTACTCGCCTCCCCGCTTCGTGGTCGGTAATCCGTAAACTCACGTATCTGGATCCTCGGGCATTAAATGCCTGACTTAATAATGGAAGGGGTCGGTCCCGCTGTGCATGCCGACTCTGCGCCAGAGCACATGGCTCGGGCGCTTCTAAACGCTCCCCAGTTAGTGTACTCCACCCTCGGATTATATTGTCTTCTCCAGCCGCGAAGATGAAGTCCTGCGAGGGTGTAGTGGCAATTGGCTGAAATCATCAAACAACAGCGTACTGAGAATGACAGGAAACAGCGGGTTAGAAGTGGCTTACCGGACTGATGGTGACGGTCGAAACATGGCCGCAGAGAGACAGCAAGGGGATTCTTCTGGAATCTTTAGTTGACGAGTTGACATATTTAGCGGACCCCGGACGCCTTAGCATCCTCAAATCATATATGTCCAACTATGGGTTAAAGGAAATGAATTGGACTCGTTGAAAAGGGTCATCAGAAGATGTCCTTACCGAGCCATCAATCAATGCGGTAAGCAGCTCCCATTCCCTTAATCGCGAAAGGCCCGTTACGGACGTGGGCGCTTGTAACAGCCTCTTCCCATATTGATCATCCCGTCCCATATCCAAGACGTGCACAGACCCGTTTCGAAGGCCAGCATACACGCATGTCTAGAAGCACCGTTAGTGCCATCAGCGGAATGAGGGATTCCGCATCTGTACCTCATCTCGTCCAAGGGTTAGTGCGTCACTCCCAATCCGGAGTGTCCGTGCAGATTGAAGATTATCAAGGTCAGAGACAATCCAGAGATGGTTTGTCATACCTGGGGAAACAGGTATTGAACAACGAATGCGTGGGATCCTAGCAACAAAGGACATACCAAGTACAAAGGAGGTCTCGGCATAAGTCCCACACCAGACATCCCAGACGTTTTGCCGGCGCTCGATGATGATGCTATTCCAAGTGATCCACGCAAGTTACAGCCGGAACTGTGGTCTGACATTCGAAACTGTACCCTTCAGTGTTTTCGCTATGCTGTGCGCTGGAAAAAGATCCCACAAGGACTTTCGGATGAGGTCCGAACGAAGATGCACTATGTTGTGACCTGTAAGCCGACGATAGTATGCATTCATGAGATGATCTTTTACCCACAAGAATTTATCCTTAATAATGCCGCATGATGATATCTAAGGAGTGAAGTTTGTAAGTCGTCCTGTGGTGGATTATGTACTAACGGGGGACATCAAACCGCACTGCCCACTCCACAATCGGTGCGTGTGACGACCTGTAGCATCTTCTACCGTTCCAACATCCGAATAGATGTAGACAAAACCGTTCGTATCACCAGCCACCTGCTTGGTATCATCCGTACATGATACCTCGCGAGAAGTTTTAATCATGAGCTTAAGCCGAATATGGAATATTTGCTTACTGAGAAGGATCGAAGTCCACACGAAGGGTAGTTGGGATATGACCAAATTATCTTTGAGTAACAAGTACTAGCGTATTGTAGCTTCAAAGAATCACTATGAGGAACGAAACGCGCTCATGAAACTTTTAGAAGAAATATCACTACACTGATGACGCACTGCGCCGCTCTTCGCCAATGGTGAGAACGAAAAGAACACAGGTACTGTGCAGTAGAGCGTTTTGGTAATGCCGGAGCATCGTCCAGATGCAAATTAGGACGTCTCGACCTTGATGATGGACGGATGTCCTTTGATGCTCTCGAGGATGACTGGGAAAACTTGGCTTCTTTCGGGTGATTTTTGTCAAGTGGAAAATATCTGTTCTTCTCAGCATCATAATAAAATCCAGGAATGTCCCCCTGAGAGGGTGGCATGATGAACTATAATGAAGCACAAAATTTGACTTGGACAATTAAGCGCCGAGGTGTGGGTTGCTTAAATTGCAAATTGCTTCCGCACGTCAACCTGGTCCGCCGGCGCCTAATTAGGAGTGACAAGTGTTTTTCGCCCACATCACATTCGCATCCAGGAGTCTAGAAGAGACATCAGAAAGGATCTACCTCGCTCTCAACAACATTCTGGGTGATGTCGTAACATTCGTTCGAATGTTTTGGCCCGCCCAAGTGCTCCGGTAGTTCAGGCAGGATTCCAGCCTCTATGACTTCGTAACATGTGGTTTGGAGCTCATCTCGTGAGCTAGTATTTCTTACAGAGCCCCCAAAAAGGGGACTAATTCGTCATTTTCTGGGTTATAGTATGTTACAGTATACGACGACTCACCCCCCGCACCTGATAGTCCCTCTATCTATAGAGGCTGCTTCAGCCTAGATAATCCCATGCTGCCGCGGAAAAAATTCTTTGGCATAACCGATCGGACACGCCCATGTTGGTTACATTACGCGATTGGTTTTCTGCTGTGTCATTTCGGACGGCCCGACATTCAAGCAGTTTGTTGGTCAATCGAATCCCCGTGAGATGTCGAGCGTACAAGTGGGAAATGATTGAAATCATTTTCTCACTAGTCTCATTGGATCTCACTTTGGGGATATGATTGTAGCAGGACTACTGCGGCGTGTATGAGACGTGTTTCCTTATCCGCAGGAGTATTCCAACAGAATGCTTTTAAAGAGATTCGATGCACGTACTTCGCTGGCTTGAGCATTATAGCTTCATATTCATTGGCTTAGGGGAAAAGTAGCATACAATCGAGTCCAAGTAAAATTACGGCATTAAAGGATACAGGAAGCGTTCATGACGCAAGTCCCAAACGTAGAATTTACATTAAGCAAGATCAAGCGAGAATGTCACAACATGCTACAACGCAAACAAATAAAAACGGATTAGGAACATGAACACGGGGGAATATATAGGGGGGTCCGAGCGGGCTCATATAGTATCATACGCTTGACTACCTTCCAGCAATGGCCTGAGTTTATGCATGCATTGCACTTGGGGTGGAGACGTCAGACATCTCTTTCAAAGGTCAGAGTGTGTTAAAGGGAAACGTACGCCAAGCGGGGTATAAATTGGTGAGGTCGTAGAGAATATCGAGCAAGATTTTGAGTCCTTGATCAGCTGCGTTGAAGCGCTTCACCTCAAAGGGCGAAGCTTGCGCCCGTGTACGCCAAAGCTCTCGCAGGACGACTTCCACGCCAGTATAAGTATATGGCTGTCCAAAGTGGCGGTGTGAATTTGTCCTATCAAAAATCAGAAAAGAGTTCACTCACAATCAAGAACACATAGCCGTATAGAGGGGGCAGTGTCCCACTCCCGCGAAGCCGTTGGGTGAGTGAGATGAGGTTATATGCTGCCCCTAACACGGTCTTATAGGACTCCCCTTCGGCGTCGGCCTCACCACCGTCGATATCCATGCTGTCTGGGCGAGACTTTGGGATGAGGATGTTAAAAAGTAACATGGTGCACACATGGAGGCCAAAGTGAGCTGTGGCTAGGTGTGGATTGACGGGGCCCACGGTTTCAAAGGGCTGAATGCCTCGAGGGTCGTCAAGAGGTGGGAGAATGTGATGGCATTCAGAGAGCGCCGCTGATAGCGTTTGAAATGTTTTCCATAACTCGGGGGTGGCCGTCGGCTTTCGGTCTGAAGTGATCAACACAGCTTAGAAACCCATCGACAGAACTCGGCCACAGTACAGACCTCCCAATGCATATAGAAATTCGCGTGTCTTCGCGTACAGGCATATGACCTTGACGTTGAACCACAATGCACTGCCATAGGGGCCACGTATCTACACAGGAGTGTTAAAGGAGTCCGAGCTCACTGATGGGAGAACGTGTGACCATACCGATATTGACTGCGGTGGGTAAAGGGCTTCGAATGACGTAAGGCTCTAAAGCCATCTAATAAGCTGCCTGTAACGAAAAATGCTTAGGAACCAAAACTTACGTCAACTGGCAAACTTGATGGCAAACCAGTCCCCGCACTGATAGCAGCATCTGTCATGTAAATGGCATACCACATAGCATTTGGCTCATCGGTCAAAATCGTGTCCGTATCCGGTAAATCGATCGCATTGACACTGCCCTCCTCTTCGCCAATTTTACTCGGATCCCTTGTCTTCGCGATAGTTGTTCGAGAGGGTAAGTACGGCCGTCGGTGTAATCCACATGCAACAGCGAAACGCACGGTGGCGCCCATGGTGCTATAGGATTCCACAACACGACCAACCTGACCATAGTAGCACCCAAGGATGATGCTCGCCCAGATGAAATGCGAGAGCCGGTCACACAGTGAAAGGGATGAAGTGAGGTGAATGCGAGTGAGGTCGAGGAAGTGAGGCTCATACGCGGAAAGTGTGGGCGGTTCGGGACAGGGAGAAGGACTGTCAAAAGTGGTAGCCGTGGAGGAAGGGGAAGAAGTCCAGCTTGTCGACGAACTAGACGGAGTGTATGCAGAGGAGGATGTGGAAGATGTGCCGGTGGTGTCTGCTGGAGAGGCACCGGCCATATATGGCTGTGGGCCGGAGTCTTTTGTTGAACCAGATGGCACAGGCAGGGTGAACGATGGGGAATCAGACCCAAGTGGCAGTATGAACGAACATGCTGCGAGACAAATGGCGGAAATAAGGCAAGGATGGATAGCTCGCGGATCATCTTGTGGAAGATGTAGGCGGGACATGAAATCCATCACATTGACGTTGAAATGGAAGTGTCCTCGCAGAGGCATGAAAACTCGAACCCTGTATGAAAAATTCAAGGGACCACCACGGTGGTGCAAAGGAATATGGGACGTACAATTCATCAATGAGTTCGAGAGGTGCATCACATATCTTTGGGTTCCATCTTAGCAGTTTTTCTTCTAGAGAGGTGCGTGACTCGACGGATTCATAACCCTCGTTGAGCACCTTGGTCACAACCCCACCCTTGAATGCATCTGGGTCCAAATTGTATTCATCCAGAACATTGAGGTCAAGGGGAGGATAGATAGGGAGTCGTGTTCTCATCGACATTGGAGCAGGCGGTGGAGTGAGACCGACCTCTACCTCACCCGCATTCGCACGGCAGACAAGTGCGTGTGACATTCCAGAATGGGAGCGAGGGAAGTTTATGGCCATCTCCCGCGTTATGGTTCGCTCGAGATCACTCTCGACTTTGGCCATTCGAGTCGCAAGGGGGTGGATGCGGGTCTTCCTGACAGGTATCTGCTCGAAAACACACTCCCTGCGCAGGCGATCGCAACGGGCACATATGGGGCCGCCAGTACATTTCTGATATCAGCAAGCGGAGCAGTAATTTGGTAAGGCAGTAGACGGGGGAAGGGGCCAAGAGCATTGAGTGGCGTGGTGTATGACCGGACAGGCTGGAATATCACTCACAGTTTTGAGTTTTCGGCACTCCCTGCAAGCCTGCCCTTTACCAAGAGTGCTTCCATGTGACATCCTGGGAGGGTACGGATACTGGGAGAGAGCCATGGCATTCCGAGGCTTAAGGGCAACTGCTGTGGCTTCCATGCGAACACAATTAAACGCTGTGGGGGAAGGGAGGGGGAGCAGACCGAATGAATGAATCCGCTTTCAAGTGGAAGTTTGGGGGCTGAGAGTATACATACAAGTAGACACCGTTTTGGGGGCAGTGTCAGGAAACATTGTCAGAGGATTGCCGTGGTCCAAATCCCTTCCGGAGTTGATCGAGCGAGCCGGGGACGGTATCTGGTACATAGCCATTGTGAAGAAATCAAGAGAGCAGAGGGCAAGTCTTGAAAGCAGAGGCAGACGCCTCAGGGTTGTAGTATACGAGTTGTATCCAAGACAAATATGTCAGCGCGATAACCCAGTTGTCACAGGGGTGGCCAATGAGGTTCTTTATATCCAAGAAGGGAATCTTCCCTCAACAAGGAGAACAAGAATTTGGGTTGTACACCTATAGTGCTTGGGAGTGAGCAGGTTACGGAGGGATGGGCAACAGCAAGCAATGATAGGCCGGCAGTCTCCAGCCATTCAAAATCCCCCATATCATATTCATGATATTAGTTCAGTCAGTGCAACAACAGCCGCAGCAACGGAAGCGCCATCTTCGTGATGGCAACTGGATTCACAAGAAGCGGTGCTGCTCATGGCTAAAGACTATCGAGTGACGGCTGACGGCTGATGGCTTGGCTAAGCGGCTCTCCCCTGACGATCCAAGATGGACAATTTCAATCGCCGACCTCAAGATTATTTACAACTCGGATGATTTCTCGCGACTACAACACCATGCATCGTTTGAGACAAGAGCGGTATCGGAGCACCGCTCGCCGAAGACCCCCCAGAATGAAGTTCTATCCCGACAAAATTTCGGCCTCAAAGCGCCTCTCGATTTCAAAAATGACTCATCGGAATCTTCGCTCAACTCTAAAACACGTGCAGCATTTCGTGCAATTCAAGCTGCTGGGAAGAATACAGGACAATCGCAGTATTGTCTATTCCAATAGAGGCCGGTACCCTGCCTAAGTATTGGCCCCTCAACGATTTGGCGTGGTTGGTGAGATAAACACGTCCAAAATGATGATGTCTTGCAAAATATTTCACGATGTGAATGCTAAGGGCGGAATTCGCTTAATGTGATTGGCAAAGGTGCAAGCATTGAAAGCCGTTCCCGCGTGGCACTGGAGATGGAAATGAATAGGATTTGTTCACGCATGTGGGTTGTGTTCAGATGCAATGAAAGTGCTTTGGGTTAACAGTCATTTGAAGAAACACAGCAGGCAAATAGGTAGAGAGGCAGTCGACTCGGATGCTGGGAGCCAGGAGACCGTGCAGTAGATGGCCAAGTAGCCAGGAGCATCGAGATTAAAGAGATATCAAAGGGTTGAATTAGCCAAGAGGTGAAATTATTCAGTGTCAAGCCCAAAAATCAATATTGCCATCAGCCGGGTGCTGAATTTCACGTGGCTGAAATGGTACCTTGCCTGGCAATCACACCGCCTTGAGGATCCATTCCCAGGACGTCACAACACAATGTTAGTGGCAGCAAAGGAAAAGTCAATGTCGGAGATACAGGACGAAGGGTGTTGAGGTTTAGGAAACGTCCATCTACTGCAAGCCCAGGAAGTGAACTAATGCTTGCGGCGTTGTGACGATTGCAATGGGTGGGATCAGACAATTCAGAAGATGAAAGTGGAGGCAATGAGTCTGGATGGATGGCAGTGCTTATGCATAGCAACCCGGCGCATCGCCACCGGTCCAACCCGTGCCCACTTGCGCGTCCTCGGTTGCGTGCCAAATATCTGACAGCTTAAGGATTGAATAGCGAGGCGTTTCAGCGTAGAGTTGACATGGCGGAAGCTCCAGGAAGCAATCCACCGTCGGTCAATGCACTGTCTAATCCACAAGATGACGCCGATCGTGTAAGCACAACCTAACTCTGGAGTTCGGCTTGGTTCTCTGATCTGGCGGTTATGAATCTTTTGGGCGATTTGTCTCTCCACTGGCTTTTCTTGCTCCCTTGCCTCAGATACGGCTTAAACGACTAGCGAAGCTCCAAACCTCAGCATCTCCCTCTGCCAGTCCATCACCTTCCTTGACGCCACTTCCTGAATCCTCCGCGCCAAAGCCCAAGAAGACAGCCGAGCTGCCAAGGCATACTACAGAGAAGCAGAAACCACTCCCTAGACCTACACCAAAGCGTGTTCTCCAAGACACAGCCCCCGATCCCAAGGTACGGCCCCCTCCAAAGAAGGTCGCCACTCCTATCGCATTCAACATGTCCAAATGGGAACCTGAAACCATTTCTCGCGTGCTTAACGTTACGCTCGATAGGGAATATGCCGAATCCCGAAACTGGGAAGTGGTGTGGTTGAAAGAACTTAGTATCGAATTGACATCCGATGGGTCTACGCTTCCGTCGCCATTGTCGGTTGATATCCTTGACCAGGTCATGATTGCACGCTTGGAGATAGACCCAAGTTATATTTCAGATGACCCTGAAATCATTACCGTCATCTCAAGCCTGCCTTCGGAACAAACTATATTCGAGTACCTCGTTGGCTGCTGGAAGCGTATCAATGCATCCCGAAGTGCTTTGAACAAAAATGTGTTCGCTCCCGAATCCCGACAGTCACTTTTACGGGCCAACACCATTTTGGATCAGCTCAGGGATCGTGTGATTTCGTATGCCGGCCTTACTATCCAAGATCCGACTATGTTCCCACAACCATTGACGTCGAAGCCACTAGGTTATCATGAACTCCTCGCATCACTACTATCTATTGGGGGGTCTGGGCCTCTATTGAGTTCTAACGCATCTGTCACCACTCTCGAGTCCTATGAAGTTGAGCCCTTTATCCAAGACCTGGCCCGGAGATTTGAGGAAGATCCAAGTGATCTGGAGAGTACATTCTGTGACGTTGTGCAGAGTGGCATCATCCCTATCATCTTTAAAGATGAAAATGGGTTGGGCAGTACCGTGACTGGACCGACCAGCTGGCGAGCCGCTGTGACCGCGATGGAAACTCTTGTCTCAGTAAAGAGCATTGCAGCCATGGTATGTGAAATGAGTAGGTGTGTGTGGGTGCCGTCTCACTACCCTACAAGATGACGAGGCTACCAAGTTGGTGCCCACCTTCGGCGAGCGCCCATATGATAGAGAGAATGTCGTTACTGGGGCCTATTGCCCGGCTTGGCGTGTTTTCTAGGGAATGGGTAAGCAGTTGTCAAAGGTGTTCTCCTAATCAGTCTGATGTTTAATGCACCATCAGCCTGCGCTTACAGAAACTTCTTTCTCGAAACTTGAGAGCCGTCCCAGGGAGGAGGCCGAGGCATCCAAAACAAACTTTCGCCAAACTCTACGACATCTCCAAGTAGGTTCTTTAGTTGTGAGTATAAGAGGAAGTCGCCTCAATAGCAACCCTTTAGACCTCTCTCTTCAACATTGAGAACTCCATAGTGCGAGCAGGAACGGCGTCCCGTGAAAATCTCCTTGATTACTTGGCACATGTCCTACATATAAACCTCAAGCGAGGCGGCACCCATACTGATATGAATACTGTTGCTTCTGATGGCTTCATGATCAACCTCCAAGTCTCTCTGCTGAGATTTGCGGAGCCCTTCCTCGATGCGAAATTCACAAAAGTACATTTGTTAGATTATCGTCACCCAACCTGAGCATTTTCTCATATTTGTTGCCGATTCTCAGCTAGATCGCGTTGACCCGCTGTATTACGCCCATTCCTCACGACTTGATATAAGCGAGGAGACTCGGCTACTCATGGATGCAAGCCAGGCTAAAGCGTTTCGTGAGGCGCATCAGTCAGACGGTGCGGAGTATATTTTGCCGCTCTTTCGAATTTATCTATCAATCTCATGGTTGCTTTTTAGGCGCTCCCGCCCCCAATTTTATCTCGGACGTATTCTTCTTGCTCTCGGCATACAATCATTATGGACTTGTGCGAACGATGACTTCGAATGACGCAATATATCGGAATGCGGATGACCTTCAACGAAGGTTGGAACAATATCAGAATGACACTTCGTATCTAGGCGTGAGCGTTTATGAATTGGACAGCAGATCTTGGAGCTTACCTTGAAATGAAGACGCCGTTGCAACGCCAAGTGGAGCAATTGATCGAGCGTATGAAGGTGCAGCAACAGATTCGTGCGGAGGGTTCAAGGGTTCCAAGACTCACTTGGCATTGTTTAGGAACAAAAAGCAAAAATGTCGTCGCACATTTTTACGTATCAACTCCAGCTTCTCGATCCGGAGTTGATTGATAGGATGATTTCGTTCACAACATTTTCCATGGCTTGGATCATCCGTCTAGTTGATCCGTTGAAAAAGTATCCGAATTCATCTCTCGAGTTACGTCGAAGTCCGTTTTGCTAGGCGCCCGTTGCTTATTAACAATTTGTAGACTTCCTTTACCACAAGAAGTTCCAGAGATTTTTAGGCATCTTCCAGAGTACTTTGTCGAAGATGTGATCGAGTTCTATCTTTACGTGGTCAAGTAGGTTCCCTTTGTCTTATCAAAATACCGGCTGTGTCGGCTCAATGGGCCTTACAGGCACACACCGGATAGCATACGAGTGGTGGGCAAGGAATTGATAGACTTCATCCTTGCCTTTCTGTCTTCTCCATGGTATATCAAGAATCCATTCTTGAAAGCCAAAGTAATTCAAGTGAGTTAGATGAGATATTGAATTATCGCTTTTTTGAGCATTTTCCAGATACTATTCTTCGGGACTCTGTCGTATGCGCAGGAGACGTCAGGTGTTTTAGGGCCCTTGCTAAACACCTACCCTCTTGCTTTGAAACACCTGATGCCAACGTTAATGAACTTCTATGTAGGCAAGTACAGTGAGGGCGTTTGTTGCGTTTTGATTCCTCATTCGTTATAGATGTCGAGAACACTGGTGCTTCGAGCCAGTTCTATGACAAATTTGGTAAGAATCCCTTGCTCGTCCCGTTTGTCGATTAACTGACGAGTGGCTTTTCAGAGGCGCGGTGAGTTTTTTCGCGTTACTGTTGGTCTCGCGTTGAAAATGGTTCCAGCCGCAACATTGCCTACATTTTCAAAACAGTGTGGGACAATCCCAACCACCGCGAGGCTCTCAGTAGGGAGGCAACGTGAGCGTTCCATTAAATCCATCTTCACCTACCTGATTGCCTCCTTCCAGCAATATTGACAGCTTCGTGAGGTTTGCGAACTTACTCATGAACGACGTCACATACCTTCTGGATGAGTCATTATCAAAACTTGCCCAAATACACACCATCCAGCTCGAGATGCGTGACCAGGAATCATGGGGAGCAAAGGATCCGAACGAGCGAAGGGAGCGAGAGGAACATCTTCATTCCATCGAGGGACAGGCCACCAGTTACACCACCTTAGGCAAATCGACTATCGGCCTCCTCAAGGAGTTTACTGCGGAAGCCAAGACACCCTGGATGTCCCCTGAAATTGTTGACCGTCTGGCCGCTATGCTTGATTATAATCTAGCCAAGCTAGCTGGACCTGAATGTCAAAACCTCAAAGTCGAGAATGTTGAAAAGTATCGCTTTAACCCCAAACAGCTACTGAGCGATATTCTCTCTATTTATCTCAACCTCAGCGATGAGCCAGATTTCATCCAAGCGGTTGCTGCTGAGGGTCGGAGTTATAAGAAGGAGGTCTTTGAACGTGCAGCAGGGATTGCTAGAAAACGGATGATCAAGACAGAGGACGAAATTCAAAAACTGCGACTATTCGTCGTCAAAGTCGAAGAGGCGAAGGCCATGATTGACATTGAGGAGGATCTAGGGGAGATACCAGAAGAGTTCCTTGGTGAGAATTGCCCAATCGGTTCCAAAACTCTGGGATTCAATGACTATCTTTTCCAGATCCACTTCTCTTCACTGTCATGCGAGACCCTGTCATATTGCCGAAATCTAGAGTGATTATCGATCGGTCGTCGATCAAAGTGCATTTGCTCTCCGATCCCACCGATCCTTTCAACCGCTCGCCCCTCAAACTTGAGGATGTTATTCCGAGTATGTCAATGGGATGATATGACACGGAACTCTTTCTCACCGACTTTCTAGATGCGGAATTGAAAGCGAAGATAATTGCGTTCATGAAGGAACGGAAAGCTTCTAAATCAGCCTTGGACATTCCTAGCGAAGAGCTAGTCAAGGTGGATGACGTAATGGACATTTCATGAATTTGCATGGACACACATGCTCCTCTCCCTTCCATGTAAAGGCATTTGCTAGTAAATACAGTAGGTAGAGTGCTTGATTGATTCTATGGAGCCGAGGATAGTTCTCGCCACCAGTTCCCTTAGAAAGCTTATGAAGCCGTCGATGTCTGGGCATCCTCGTCAGGCCATCCTTCCTTTATTAAACCCCGCAAACAGGGCACGTTCCTAAGATAATTTCTTCTTGATTTCCGCGGACGTTTTTGGCCTCTGTGGCATCGCTAGAATTGAGGCCAAAAGACCTGGTAAGCTAAGGATTTATCCTTGAGCAGTGGTTATGAAGACAGCAGTGAGTGCTATCAGTGGCCCCTCCGTGGGAAAGCCAGCGGAAGCAAACTTGGCAAGTAAGTGCCGCTTCGGAATCCGATGTCAACGAACGACAGCTCCAACTCTACTCCGAAATCGGAAGCCAAGCCATCCCTCATAGATGCGATCAGAGTATCTATCTACCAAATTTCTTAATTGGATATATACAATTCATGACCACCCCTACAGACCATCCAACCCGTTGATGATTTGAAAAAGTTGCCGACATACCCATGCGCACGAGAGAGCCTCATGTATGGTATAGCAAGTGGTGCTGCTATAGGAGCTGTACGGACAATGAACGCTAGTGAGGGCATTCGAGTTACTCCCTACTTCACTAGGGCTGATCTGCACTTTTGCAGGCATTCGCTCTTCATGCAATTGGGGCATGGGAGCATTTATATTCATCTCTGGAGCCTCCTGGTATGTGATAGGGGAGACTGTTATTTCTTATGTGTGTTATTTAACGTGGCCTATTTTATCCAGGGCTATTTGTCGGGCTGCGCGCGAGAAGGAGCTTCACACAATGAAAACGATTGTCGAGAAGTTTCCTGAGCGGAACATCAAGATTGCCCAGAAACGTGCGGAGCAGAGACGGCAAGAGGTGGCTCTTTCAACAGCGTCCCACTCAGCAATACCCTCGAACGATCCGCCCGGCTCTACTGGAGCAAAACGGTCATCATGGTTCTCGTGGTTCCGCTGATCTAGCGGGCGTAATGGAGACCAATCAGGAGCATCATAACATCCTGGAAATGACCCCGAGGCTTCTATTTCATCCAGATGGGATCGTTGTGTCTTATTCGCAGACGAAACATACAGGTGCCACGTCCGATTTGGGGACGAGTTGAGACCACCTCGGATTCATTCGTCACCGGATTCCACTACAGATGGGTCCCAAACGCTGGCTCGATAATTTTCAACCAATTCGGGGTCCTTCTGATGTGGGAGGGAAACCAGCTATCAAACAGTGAACGTAATTTTTTTTTAATGTGCCTGCCTTAAAGTATCCTTGGAACTCAGCGAAACCTCCACGCAATATGCATATCTCTTGGGGACTGATTTGCTCCGGCGTCAGCAAGCCGTCTCGCGCTTCGCGGAATATCTAGCAGCCCGCACATCAGATATAGCGCAACAATTGAACAAGCGCGTGCCGCTCCCTCAAACGTACCCGGGCTGCTTGAGGTCCTCTTAGGGCAGATGTAACATATTCATTAGCTCAGAAATCTAGAAAGATCGCAGGATCTCAATACCTTTGCTGCGACCAATAGCAATGAAACACGACAAGTGGTGTAGACTTTAGCCGCTCGACAAGCCCGTCAACTCTCTCATCGAAGAGATGGGATGGGATATGGATGCAGTTTGGAATGTTGCCGCCCTTGTATAGTAAGCAAATGGAAAATAAATCACAAAAACATCAAGTCGAAGGGTGTGCATCGGGGAATGGCCCTGATGTACCTCCATTATGGCGATGGAAAGTGCATTACATCGAAGTCTGCATCTCTTACATCCACAACGGCATAATCGATGAGGGGTTTCCCTGAGCCTTTGATGATATCTCGAAGTTCCTGGTCGGCAGACAAAGTGCAAGTGAGTAAGTCCGCCAAGTAAATGCAAGGGATATGTGTACATTCGAAGTGATCCAACGTGTTATTCCTGATGCCATCGTCAAAGTTGAAAGGTTGCAATATTTGACCAGCATTCAACGGCGATCACCGGTAGCCGTGTGGCTCGATCAAGGTGTCAATGACGTAGACATTGAGCCAAACGAACTCGCTCTGACTCGCTCTGAAGACGAACACACTATGGCTGCCGAAAACGCAGGGCTGTACCTCGAAATGCTCAAGTCCCATTCGGACCACATCTTCCGACATTATAACGGCTCTCCTTCAGAAGATTCACTCCCTTTCGAAGAGACTTTTGTTCCTCCTAACACATACTGGACTTCTGATGAGAAGTATAAACTTTATCACCACCTGCAGAGGTTTTCGCGCTTTCGTCTCGATCTGGTTGCGGAGGCTATGGGAACTAAGACTGTTGTTGAAGTTAGCACTTACCTTGGACTCGTGGCTCGTGTCGTGCACGAACGTTATTCCCGCCACGCCGCACCCAGACGCGACAGATTCCCAGCTGCAATAGAGATGAAAAATGCCTGGGTAGAGTTCGAGGAGGGGATGTCTCAATATGTCCTGGAAGCTGAGGATGAGACCATCCGGTCAGAACTCGCCGCGAGCCGTCGTCTGTCATGCAAGAATGCTGGTGTCGTACCGCATCATGTAGGCGTCGGTGCATTCGTTAAGGAATCTTTTAGGATGTTGAGGTCAAAGAAACTTCAAAACGGTCATGACACTCCTGCTTCGAAATTATCGTCCATACCAACGGGATCTTTGAAAATTTCCTGGATCGAAGAAGACCTGTTCAGGGAGCTCGACAAAGATAATCTTTCGGTGATGGATGACATGCTAGACTCTCATTATGGATTAGACTCTTCGTCCCACCACGCACCTCTCGCTTCTAACTCGGACGCTGCACATGATAGCCATTCAGATGACGATAATCCGTCTATATCTCCTGCCTGTGACTCGCTGACTGACAAAAAGGGCTCGCTTGAAATCAGCCGTACTAAGGTTGCAATGATGTCACCCCTCGAACGCCGGCGCTACCGTAAGCGCCTATGGATGCGCAAGAAGAGGGCTCAGGAGAAACTCGCCATAGAGGGAATTGATCCTAGCTTTGCAGTCTTCAGCGAGTCTACTGGGAGGCTCAGCAAGCGTAGAAGGACATCGGCGATGGACCCTTTCTCTACTCCCAGCACCGTTCGTGCCTTCCCTGAAGACGCTGCATTGGGTGACCCGATGAATTATCAACGCAAGCGCACGGAGAAGTTTGATTTGGTGAAGAAGGTAGCTCAGTATGTCAACTTCACGGCGGGGAATTTGATCCAGGATGATGTCGACATTTTTTATTTCTCCAGACTCGGAAACCTTCTTCGGTGTGTATTCTGATTTATATGTCGTTGATTTTTTTTGCTTATGCCACCATCATATCAATATTCGAAGTATGTATATGTCATCACTTCTTCCCTTGCCAGAGTCTCGCAATCCTTCGCATGGTGGCTCAATCGTGTCCTCTCCTAACGGGATAGCTAATCCTGCCGTTTCCTATTCTACAATCAAACAGATCGCGAGAGATCTTCGACAATACCTGGAAATCGTGATCCAACGAACGATACTGATTGCAGAGAATAGCCGGGATACTAGAACTCAACCTCAAGTGCGCGCGCCTTCCGCTCTGCCAAGGGTATAGAGACTGATTTGGATAATTTTGGTACTAGATCACTAAATATGATGTACTGAAGTCTGCCTCTATTTTTAGCCGACCAGGAGCTTTCTTGTCGAGAAAATCTTTCATTCAAACTTTACCTTCGCGCCTTTCCCTTACCGTTCTTGATGGGAGTGTGCCCGCCGACGTTTCAGATCTCGAAGGACTAGTGGAATTTCAACCGCGAATGTGTATCGAGGGCCCCAAAGATATCTTCATTTCTTGTGCGGACATCAATGGTCCGTCTCTCTCGGTTCCGGTTGAATATAGGCGTCCAAATCGGATGGCCATGTTCAAGAAACGCAACTATGAAGACCAGGATGACGAAAACTTCTTGACTATGTGGGGGGTGGGACAGGATGAGGGTATACCTGGATGCGAACTGCTTCCGGAGGTGTCGTGGCCAGTGGAGTACGACGAATTCCTGGAGGAGTTGATTGACGAGGACAAACTAGACAAGAGGGACTCTAAGGGGGCCGCGCGTTATCATGCTGCACTTTGGAATATGTTTCAGGCTGGAGAGTAGGAGAATGAGAAACGGGCCCCTCATTCAGATATGGGGAGATATCGAGGCGGAGTGAACAGGTGATGAGAAGTGTGCCAACAGTGGGATCGTTCTACACCCGAATAAAATTGACTGAGATGTTTGGTCTATTTTGTCACCCCGCGGTCGCCTGACGACGCAACCGCCTTTTTGTTTGATATTTGGGGTTTGGTCTTATCGATCGACGAGATCTAGCTGTTTCCAGTCACGACCTTAGCTATGAGCGACCACTTATGCAAGTGACTTGTCCATCATCCCCACGTGCATAGATATTCATCAGAGGTGGGAATGCAGGCCCGACTATCTGTGGCCATAGGACTCGGAAAGCACCGCATCCCGTTCGATCTGCGAAGTTAAGTCGAGTGCCGCTTAGTTAGTACCATGGTAGGGGACTACATGGGAATCCTGAGTGCTCTACAGTTTGTGCTTTTTTTTGGTCTCTCTCCCTCGCCTCTTTTCTTTCCAAGCTATGAGCGCAAATTTCGTCAACGGTGATAAAATAGTGTTCTCAAATTGATGGCTTGTGGGTGTACATCAAGAGCGCGGGCACTGATTGGCGCACCCTCTCTGGGGGTGACTCGGTTCGGTTCTGGACCGTTTCAAAGGATGGTACCAACTTTGTTGAAATGTGATAAGTTCAATGAAATATTCTATTTTCGACGGAACATTCTAAGCATTAAGAGTCCATAATGAAGCCCACCCGCTCTGCGCGTTCTATCATGAGATTTTTCTTGCCACTTTGCTATATCTAATGCCTCCCTCTCCTCGAAATAGTTATGCTGCATATCAGCCTTCACGCTTTGAATAGCCCCGAGATCTCGGGAGTGAGACGGTTCTCACATAGCAGCGGAAAATGCCCTTTCACATGGGATAGAGGATGCTGGGACCAAGAGCAGATCCCGGGCGATGAATGATATGTTGATAATATTTCTACGGTTCTATGGTTTGGTTCGGAACCGGTTCGCATTTTCCCCCTAACTTTAAGAACCAAAACCGTCGGTTCTCGGTTCGGTCCTGGTTCGAACCGGTTCTCCGGCACCCCTAACCCTCTCATCGGATGATAACGCTTGTTTGTTTTTTTTTCCTTAGTGGAACCCTAGTAGCTTTCGCAATACAGGGGTTTGTGTGTATTCCTAAATGGTAGGACTTTCCCGGGCTGCCACTGTGAGGAAATCCTTTACGCACTCGTCATTGACTCTCCAGCCCGGTCACGGGGGGCCCGGTATACCCATGGTATACCCATGGCGCATCACCTATTCGGGTTGGGCTGGGTAGGCCCATTACCTTGCACGTTCATGTCCTGATCCAATCCCCGAGCTCAAGAAGGAAAGAAGGGGTTTGGTTGCGATCGCTGGTGTAACTTCGTCCATGCGGCTGGATTTGTGAACTGATCATGCAGGTTTACCTCATATCATCAGGTACAACACCCAAATCATGACCTTCCTTTGATCCATTAGAATCGGATGCGCTTTTTGTTTTTGACGTTAGCTGTAATACACCACGTTTTGAATACTAAGACCCCTCGCGAAAATTTGGATTCGCAATCAGCTTGCCAAATGAAAGTGATCAAGTGAGAAGGGCAGCGGCCACGGGTTGCGTCAGACGGTAGGTAGGTGTTGTGTAAGCCCATCGTAGCTTTGATTAGAGTCATGTAAATAGTTGCGCTAATGGTTGTTTTGTTTGGAAATTGAATAGATGGTGCTTATGTATTGCTAATTGTTGACACCGGTGCCGGCCAATCGCGCCTTCGTCTTTCGTATTGTAGGCGAGCAACATTTTCGATCCTTCGACTGGCATGGTTAAGATGGATGAAGAGTACCTTTCCGAGAAAGAATTTGACGATTATGTTACCGACTCTGGCAGTGATGTGTACGAACCGGACGATGACGACGATGACCAGTACGGGGGCGAGTTGGGCGGAATCCAAGACTACGAAGTAGACAACTTAGAGAATGCCATAAACCAAATGCAGGGAGATTTTGAGTGAGTACTTCTTTCACAGGTTGCTCTCCATACTTCCTGCCTCCCGCTTATCCAGGATTTTCATGCAGTCGCATCGTCAAGTCGAAAGTTCAGTCTTCTGGACCTGCCAGGGGACCTATTACCGGAAAATGGACTTTCGAGTTCGAGGAGGAAGATGACACAATGGACTTCCAACAGGAGCTTCGTGAGACATCCGGAATTGGCAAGAAGAGGAAAGCCGTACGTCCATGTAGCAAGCCTACGTGTGTCATATCCCCAATGTTTCGAACAGCGTCGACCCAGAAATATGCCGGAATTATCCCCACAAGTTAAAGATCTCATATCGAAGGGTATTGAGGCTTATACGAATAGTAGTATTGAAGAAGCAATTCCCCTCTTGAGAGAGGCCATTCGCATTGAGCCCCGAGCAGTGGATGCGTGGACGACACTTGCGGAATGCCATCTTGACCTTGGGCAGGAGGTGGAATGCTTGCAACTCCGCATAATTGCGACGCATCTCCGGGAGCCTGACGTTGGCACTTGGAGGGAGCTTGGGCAGAAGTCAAAGTATTTGCCAAGCCCTTCGCACATTTTATTAGGGTCTCACGCGACTTCCGACTTTCAGGGAGCTGGGATATCTGCAGCAAGCCATATATTGTTTTCGCAAAATTCTCTACATCGATCCTCAAGATTTGGATGCTCTTTGGGATTGGTCGTATCTCCTTAAGATGCAAGGAGAACCCAAGAAGGTGCGTCCATACATTTCTGACGTGTGCCGTTCGCCAAAAAATTCCCCAGGCTCTCGATGGATTTCTCAAAATCATGAAGTTCCAACATTACGACCCGAACGTCCTTGAGGAAATTCGGTTACTTCTCATCGATCTTGATGACGCACCAAGGGCGACGAGGTTATTTCAGGATGCGTTCGACTTCCACACTAAACGTCAGCCGGAGGGCCCTCATTCTGAAAATGATTTCGGCACTCGGCAGATTATTGCTTTGACTGACTTTTACAATAATGTCAACGAATATGAGAAAGCGATTTTTACCATTCGGAGGGGTGCTCGATGGCTTGATGGCCGCTTTCATGAAAGTCCAATGTGGGATCCTGTTCAAGATGATAGGGAGTTCGATTTACCCGGCTATGCCAGAGACGAAGGAATCAGTCGAGGTCCTGGCCCTGGTTGTTACCCCTTAGATATCAACTTTCGACAGCGGCTTGCAATCTCCAGATTGAAGATTGGTGATTTCGGGGAAGCTCAGGTATGAGTCTACTGCGACTGCACTGGTTTCATAATGCTGATACACCCAAACTAATGGCTAGATGCATGCATCCATTGTCTTAGCCACTGAGGATGTGGTTGAGTTCAGCATTCTCTTTGAGGAGCTCGCGAATGTCTACTTTGATTTGGGTATGTATGAGGATGCTCGAGAAATCTACATCAAACTAGCAACGCAAAACGAGGTCCGGTTTCGCATCCCTAGAATCAGGTGCTATATTCATACAACATCATCAGACCAATTCTACCTTCATTATCCTCCGCATCGGAGCTTGTGATCGCAATCTGGGTAATTATGAAGACGCTATAGAGTCGTATCAGTGGGGTAGGTACCCGATAACGCCGCTGTGGAGCACCTTTATGAATGTTTCTCTCGTAGCCCTCAAAGTGGATCCTTCCCTTATCGAAGCAAAAAGCAAACTTGCCGAAGCTCTAGAAATCATTGGTCGACTTCAAGATGCTTTTGATCTCATCAATGAAGGTAACGTCTCTGTTTCCTCGCCCATCGAATTATTGGGGTTGGCTCACCATGGATGTAGTGCTCGAGTTTCGTCGGGGCGTGCCTACTGCCCTGCCCACAGTCGAAGGGCCTTCTATGGAAGATCAATCGTCCGGAGGGGCAGCCCAGATGATTGGCAGCTTCTTCGACGAGACACGAAAATTGAACACAACAAAATCAGCTGCAGAAAGGAACAAGATATCCAGGGAACAGTTGCGCATATATGAGCAAGCCAAGCAAGAGCAAACGATAGCCGTGTTCGAGAGACTGGATCAGACCGAGGAGGACATGCTGTCTCAACTTCCTGGTGCAATCCAGATTTGGTTGAATGACGGCGGTGATCTTGTTGAGGAATTCCGCATTACACGCCAATTGTTTATGGTAGATAGGGTATGTTTCCCTATCAAATGGGTTTCCCCATAGATAACTTCCGTACAGACATCCCCATATCGTGGCATTATTATTGAGAGACGTCAAAACAGGGACCGGGGGAAGAATAAGTCAGAAAGTGGAGATAATGAAATGGCGTCTCGTTTGGAATTGGAAATAGGTGTCTCCCGACCTGGGAACTTGCATAATCTTGCACAATCTTAACGACCTATTGTAGCCCAGGACGCCGCGGCAGGAGGAAAGCAGCCCAGAGGCGTTGACAATTTCCGGGGGGTAACATTCGCACGCTGGTTGTCTATGATCACTCAGGTTCGTCTGGAACTAAGCACTAGCACTGATATCAAAACTGTGTCAATTTCTTGGCAGTACTGTTTTCTCCTTACACGAGAGGATCAGTATGCTCTTGCGGATGAAGTGCTTCGTCACATGTTACTTTCCAATGCCTACAATGATTT